ATTAGCTAAAAATCATAAATGATTATGAACCTAATGGCAGAACATCAGACAAACTGACCTTTGACAAAACCACAATCATAGTTGGCAATTTCGATATCCTTCTTTCAGTAATTATAGAACAAGTAGACAAAAAAAATAGATTAGGATAAAGAGGACCTGTGTAGCACTACCAACTAACTGAATCTAACATACATTTATAGAATATTATACTAAACATTTGCAGAATATACATTCTTTTCAAGGGCACATGGGACATTCACCAAGACATATTAATACATAGCGTAGGCCATAAAATGAGTCTCAAAACATTTAAAATAATTGAAGTTAAAAAAATATATATCACAAATTACTCCTAACTCCCTACCAAACTAGCACTCAAGCCAAGACAGAAGAATTTCCTCATTGTCTTTCTTTGCCAGAAGATGGATTTTTCTAGTTCATTCTTTTACTGAGTATAGGCCTTCCAATGTCTGTTTCTTCTTATCAATTCCAAATCCCCACCTTAATTAAAAAACCATGTCTTATGTCTCGCATTGCTAAAAATACTCAGCCCCTTGTTACTGAGATTGACAAGGGTCTAAGGACAACTGTTACTTTGATGCCGCCATGCAGTTCTGCTTTTCCACTCCCTTTTCACTCCTGGCCGTGGAGCACTTCCCTCAGTCCCCGAGTGCTCGTCTGTGCTTTATAAAATATGTTTGCAATGTTCTGTTCAACATTCTAGGGGTTTTGTGGTCAGAAGGCTCTCAGATGATCTAGTTTCCATGCTTCTGGAACTTAAAGCACATCACATAATTCTTTGGATATTTTAGGGGTTTGAGTTACATTGGCCTAATCAAAATCCCCTCATTTAGACAGCCTTGGGTTTGAACTCCAGCCCTGGTATTCACCACTTACATAAACCGAGCAAGGGATGAAACTTTTCTGTGCCTTTGTTTATATATAAATTTTAGGGATCATAAGTCCAGGTCTTCCAGTTTGTTGTAAAGATTAGTCCCTATGCTTATATCCTATATGACACAATGAGCAAAAGATAATGTTATTGCTATTCACTCATTTATCAAATACTGAGTGTTTACTGTGTGTCAGGCATACCTTCTAAGTGCTAGGAATAACAGACAGGAAAAGTATTAAACAAATAAATAATTTCACCTAAATTGAAATGCAGTAACAAAAAGGATAATAGGATGGACAATGTCTGTAGAAACATTTTTCTGATTAGTGATGGGAATTCCTATTTGATGTGAGATTTGATTTAACATATGAATATATACAAAAACATTCTAAAGTTAGATTGTGGTAATGGTTGCATCACCCTGTGAATATTCTAAAAACATTGAATTGTATACACTCTAAATGGGAAAATTGTATGTAAATTATATCTCAATGAAGCTGGTTTTTAATAAATCTGAATGAAGACAGGAAAGGCAGGCAAAAATCTTAGGGCAAGAGCATTTTAGCCAAGGGAACAGCAATACAGATTCTGAGGCTGCAGTGGGGCTATAGCCAATTTGAGAAAAAGAAAGATTTGGTGGTGGGACGTTAGTAAGGGAGGAGATAGGAGACAGTTGAGATCTATACTGTAGGTGCGAGTCAGACCAGATATGCCTTTATAGGCCACATTGAAAAGTTTGGATTTTATCCAAAGTGCAATGGGTAGCCTTTGAAAAAAAATTAACTGGACAAGTGATATCTGGTTTATGCTTTCAAATGGTCAGCCAAGGTTTCCGTGAGGCAAGAGCATGAATAGGAGAGAAAAAGTACAAGCAGGGAGAACAGCTACACTGAGGCCCTACATAGTCCAATTTTGACTTGGTGCTTAGTTCTATCAAACTCTACTTTATTGATTATACATTTATTCTGAGAGCAGAGATGTAAGTGAAATGGCCATCACAGCAGAGGGACCAATAAGAAGTAGAGAATTCATGCTTCCCCTACCCACAAAGGAAAAAGGTTATTTCAGCATTCTGAAGGTCGACTCGCCTTTGATTTCCAGTACCCTGTGTTATTCATATACGAAGATGTCCCCATCTTCAGCTGGCCAGCAGGAGAGTGAGGAGTGCTACCCCTGCTAGACTGTGGTTCACTTATCTTTTTCCCAACTCAATCACTGCTCAGAACCATTCTGAACCACCTCTGTCTTCCTTCCATTTAAGAACTAAGTCAAAATTTGAAACCACCAGTAGAAAAATATGTGGCAAAAGCTAAATCCATAAATTCTATAAATCGGACAGCTGTGTTGCTTCACATAAGTGATTAAAATGGCTTTTGGAATCAGACAAAATTTGGTTTAATTCTAGGATCTGCCATTTAATGAGTGACTTAGGGATACTTAAACTTCCTTCAATAAACCTAGAGACAAAAATATCTATGCTTCATTGAGTGTTCAGATGAGTTGATGCTGTAAATCACTTAGCACAATGCCTGATATATAGTAAGTACTTCAAATTGGTAGCTATTATTATAACTATTATTGGTTATTATAATAATTAATAAGTCTGTTACTTTTATGAAGGGAAAAATAAATATTTTTAAAAGATGAAATCCACTTGCCTTTAAGAGACATGAACCTGTTAACCACTACATAAACTTAAAATTACCATACTCTATGTAAGCTAGGGCAATAATGTCAAATTTTTCCCATAATAAAATTAATTAGTTTAAATTTTAATAATTATAAAATGTTCAGGGGATTTCTCATTTTAAAATTCAAAACATATAAATAAATCTCTTAGCAAACTATTCCTAATTATGAACTAGTATGAAGTATTGAATTGGATGTTTTCAATAGTCCCAAAATGAAAAACCAAACTCACATGTTCAATATCAGAAGAATGACTACACATAGTACATTATAGCTTTTCAAAGGAATATTAGGTACACTTACTAAAATTTGCACTTACAGAGAATTTTAATGACATTGGAAAACATTATACTACCAGTGAAACAGTGGGATAGAAAACAACATATAAATTATTATTTTGAGGCTGTATGGTCACCTAGCAAAAAAGAGTGGAGTAAAATATGTCAAAAATTAATAATAGTTGATTTAGGGTGGTGGAAGTAAACATGATTTTTTTCTGTTTATGCTTTTCTCCACATTTTATTTTTCTAATGTGCATAGATTCTTTTATAGTAATGAGAAGAAAATGATAAAGTTAACATGTTATAAAAAAACTAGCAAGCTGGGTGTCAAGGTACAGTGGAGACGATTTGTTGGAACAGGAGCTGGTCCTTGCACGGACACTTGAGCGGTCTATCGGGAGAGAATGATTACTCAGAACAAGAGTTACATCACATGGGACAAAAAGGGCAACACCTCTTCAGGTTATTACCCTATTTACCAAAGTTGTGATACGTATATTGAATATATATCGAGACCTTTGTGAAGGCCTTTGCCTCTATCAAGCCCTAACATAGTGCTTATTTATAACTCTGATATAACAATTTAAGAAAAAAAAAATTAAAAAGTCTTCCAAGTGAGCAGAAAAGGAAAAAAAAACAAAAAACCATGATTTGTAAATGTGTCTGCTTTCCTAGGGAATGGTTTCCTACTGTATCTTTCTATCCACTTTACTGATTGCTATATAAAAGACAAATATACCCAAGGACTTTTGTAGTAGAGAGCTCATCTGTTCCAATATAGTCAATGCCCCTCTATTTTAGCACCAATTAATTGCCTTTAATTAACCACCTTACATTTGGTAACAGTCTGAAGGGGAGAGTTCCCGAGTCTGGGAATCAGATAGCTTTGCTGCTGTGCCTCATGCAGAGAGCAGTCCATATGTCTTCTAAAAGGGAGGCAGTCTCCTTTAAATATCCATTAGTGTTACCTCTACTAACTACCAGTCTTCTGAGGCTCTAAAAGCAGTGGCGGAGGAGGATTAAACATACACAAAGCAAGCAACTTGGTCTATAAGCATTCAGTATGTCATTCTCCTTCAACAGAACTGTTTTGATGGAAATATTTTCACTTAGAGGTTTTAGGATCCAGTATTTCTCATTTCAAATAGCTTTTTTCAAATTATTATGTAACATTAAAATTATTATATACAACCATAGTGTGTTTAACTGATTTAATAATATTTAATTTCTTACTGGAAGTCATAAGAGGAGAAAAGCCTCTTTGAAAGAAATATTTCTTAGCAGGGCATGTAAGTAGAGTCTTGGTCTGTAATAGTACTGATGATCATGACCTGTGTTATTACATATGACTCAATCAGGCAAAAGTCATCTTCTTTACGAATAACTATTGCTACTTTGGGCAAAATTTGTGTTTTCATTAGAGTAAAATCATGTTTGACATTTCATAAAGCTTTAAGGCAGAAGAAAATGATTAATCATATTCATAAATATGCAAACATACTTAAACTATGATATTAACAAAGCATACTACATTTGAGACAAAATGGCAAAACCATAATTTTTTAATTGCCAAGAATTTTATGTGGCAAGTTTATTTATTCAGTAACATCATCATAAAGTAGAAATATTACATTCACAAAAGTAGAATTAAAAGGTATAAAATATTACTTTAAAACAGGAAAATAATGAAGTCACTTTCAAGAGTCTCATAGAAAGCCTTGAATTTACAAGGCTACTCTTTCATGTTTAATAGGATTAATATATGTTTTTACTGTGACAAAAAGCAATCATGATACCTGAGTATTAAATACATTCACTGCATACAACAAACACTATTATAATGTACCTCCTAATCATTTCAGCAGTTGTTTCAGTTCATTTGACAACTTGTCTAAATAGCTTTAAAACATACAAAAAGCAAATTGTTACATAAACTTAAGGATGAAATTTTCTAGTATTCAATTATCCAAATACATATTTACCCATTAAAGTAGAACACTGCTTAATATGTAAAATTAGTTTGAAATCATGACTCTTGATTAAATATACATTCCAAAACCTCTCATGAGACTTTTCAACTTCAAAACTGACTTTAAAATACTAGCTTGGGGGTGAATTACCAATACATTCAGAAATATAGCCAAAACAAAGAGTTTTATTTCAAAGACTGAATTCAGACCATAAACCAACTATTTTTGTACATTATATTAATAAATTGGTTCTTTGTTCAGAATCTCAAACATAAATGATATTAACGATATACATGCATGAGACTTAATAAAAATGGCACTTCAGGGAAATTATTGCTTAGCCTAAGGGAAAAATGTTATGGTTGGATTCCTGCCTGGGGCTTAAATTGTGGTCTTGCATTTATAAAGCAGGTTTTTGGATTCTCTAGCTTTTGGTGATACTTTGGAACCTTCTGTGTTTTCCATGTAGCTATTTCACACAAGCTCTAAAATTTGAGAGGACACTTAACAAAATAAAATTTCCACTTGGATGGCAAAACTTATTAATTCTAATATTATATAAATAGAACAAATCTGATTCCTTCATTGGACAAGTGCTACATTCTGAGCCATCTAACTCAAATTAAATTCAACTCTGTGGCAAACAATTCATTTTCTCATTAGGCAATTAATGTTACCTTCAATAAGGCAATTCCCACTTAGTCTTTGGACACAGCAGTTGTCTTTAAAACAAAGTTCTAAACCTGTAGTTCATGTAAAAGGATATGATTTGCTTAGCAGGAGGTTAAGAAAATCTGCAACAGAGATACATGATAAAGAGAACATGAGTTCTTAAGAAGTTAGTTGCATTTAATTAAATAGTGGAGCTCTCCCTACATTCAGTGATCTACAAAACTGAAATTTAAATGGAAAAATGAATCTGTGAAATTAAAGGTATAAAATTCTGCAGCGCTTCTCAGATTCTTCATTCTTATTTCCAGAATGAGAAGAGATTAAAGATAACAGAATATTACTATTTTTTAGAAGAAAGTAGATTAAAAAGTGTTTATACTTCTTAATCTCTTTACAGTATTGATCAATGCTCACCAGTAAATAGTAAGACTACTGCATTCATTTGGATATGCAAATTAAACTGGAAAATCCATAAAAATATATTTATTGCCACTAAAACCAATCAGTAAAGCACAATATAACACAAAAGAAAAGAAATATTGCTTGATATTAATATATGCAGGTTAATGAAAGCATTTTTAGTAAAAAAGCCTTTCATTTTTACAAAAAAGCTTTCCATTTTAAACATGATTACTCAACAAATATATTAAAAACACTACCAATAAATGCCCTTACAGTTTCCAGTGCAAGCCACTGTGTTTTCCTTATTGGGAATACAGCTTTTAGTCATCTTTTTTGGCTGAGATACTCTCTTCATGCTTTTCTGGACTGACTTTATTACTTGCAATAGAGGGAGTTGTCTGGACTTCTTTTGGGAGTGAAAACACATGGCAGGTTTGAAGGTCTAAGTATGTTGTAAATATCTTAGCATACTCTGGATGCTTTAGGGCAAATCTTTGAAATTCCTCTAGAAAAGGAGGGAAAAAATCCAATAAATTAGGGTGAATCTTCTTTTGGCATGAAGCAGATTAACAAATGACCCTAATAATACAGTTATTACAAACTTCTGTTACTCATAAACATTGCTGATGGAAATATAAGTTGTACAACCAGTTCGGAAGGCAGTTTTTCCATTATCTAGTCAAGCTGAAGATATGCATACTCTATGACCCATTCATTCTATTCCGGGGTATAAAACCTAGAGAAATTCGTGCATATTGTGTATAAAGTGAAGAAGAGTAGTGGTTATCAGAGGATTTTTGAAAAGCAAATGGATAGAAATAGGATATTGAGTTAAAATCCTTTTGTGATAAAACCAAAAAGCAAGCTGATGTAAAGATTATGTTCCCTTCATTCTAATAAGCTCAATAACGTTTCTCTACCCCAAAAGAAGAGGGTAGAGAAACTTCAAAATCGAGGGCAGTCTCATATTTCAGGAATTCCAGGTTATTAGACTGTTGAGATTCAAATATTACAGTTAACTTAGTAAGCCTTCATATACATATCCCTAAAATCTACCTCTATCTCAGTTTCTAAATCTAGAACACTTTTTATGACACATTAGACTACCTAATAACTCTGGAAGATAAAAATAGGTCTTAGTGATGAGGAAGTCACCAGATTGAGCTGAAACCATTCTTTGCAATTGCAACATTATTTTGCATTAATAGACCACTTTATATTTCCAAATCAGGCAAGCTATTAATTGTTCTTTCTTAACATCCAAAATAACGGTTCATTTGCATGAATCTATTTCAACGATGAAGACACAGAGGACTCAAGTGACTTCTAAGATTAAGTGAGCAAGACAGTTGATCTGCTAAAACCAAGAACTATAATTTTAAGACTTGTGCTCTGTTCAAAAGATCAAGATCCTCTGTTGGAAAGTCAATGGCTTTGAAGAGTAACTAATTTCTAGAATTGCTATGATTGTCTCTAAGTGGAATTTGAACATTAATTTGGTTAATGGGAAACCATGAATTAAAGGATCACATTTAACCAATTTAAGTGGTCACATTCATGACACATGTCAATACCTATTTCTTTTAGTAGAATTATACTTAAATACCTTGAACATTCCTGCAAAAGAAGCAGACTTACATAATATTGGGGAAGGGGAAAGCTCCATGAATTCTGAACATAAAGAGGTTGAACTCTAAAAAACAAAGATTTCCCTAAAAAATTACTTAAATTGACAGGTAAAATTAAGTCTATCTAAAAATAATTTTTAGTATTAGTTTCCATTAAAATAGTTATCCCAAAAGTTTTATGCAATATGGTAGTTCAGAGTAATAGTCTTACTTATTGGAAGGCAAATGGCTAGAGAAGAATTAGCACACATGGGTTTATGACTCATAAGTTTTATCTCAGTATATATGCTTTTCCCATGTTATCCTTTCTATTTTTTTAAATGAACTCAATAGATTAAGTGCCGTAGGCATTTAATTACCTAAAATAAAATCCTGGGCAGCCCAAATGACAGTAATTAAAAACAGAGAGTAAGAGAAGTATGTGATCTACTTTCTGCATCCCATGAAAGTTAACAAGCAGAAAGTCTCTGAAAAGGAAAAAGTAATTAAAGAGGAATCTGCCCTAGCTTGGGAGGAATGACTGGGAAGGATAAGCCAGCCCGACACCCATGACCACATCAAACCCAAGGCAGGGAAACAACCATCTAGGCCCCTGCACTGAGGTGTGTTTCTCAACGACCGCACTTTGAAATACATGGAAACTGATGGACCATCCTTCAGCCTGTGCAACTTGTTTTGACGTGTGGACTTGCGCCATCAGGAGGAAGGATGGTCGCTGATGGACAGATCTGCCACTTTGCCACAAGGTCTTTCTCCATGATAGTCCCTAACTCACAGGGGTTGCTATCAAGATGGTATGAGACAATGGATATGAAGGCTTACACAAACTGTTAACTGTAAATGTCAATAAATGGTTTAGCTACTATAATTATTGCTGGTATCTCAGTCCATATTTCTCTATAGTAGTTACAACTGAGCTAACTTGCTCAGTTTTGCGTGGCCCTGCTGACAGAAGAAAGGAAAAGCCCTTCGAGGAGGGGCCGCAGATATTAGAAGCACCAAGATATAAAGTCAAGGGTGCAGGCTGTAAAGCCAAGACTATCTTGCCTTTTGAATCCTGGCTCTGAAACTCTTTAGCTGGATGCTCTTAGATAAATTACTTTAGTTCTTTGTATCTTAGTAAAATAAGAATAATTAAGAATATTGCTTAGGCTGGGTATAGTGGCTCATGCCTATAATCCCAGCACTTTGGGAGGTCCAGGAAGGAGGATCACTTGAGGCCAGGAGTTTGAGACCAGCCTGGGCAACACAGCGAGACCCCCGTCTCTACCAAAAAAAAAAAAAAAAAGAAATGAATGCTGATTAAATAGGTGTGCTACAAAGATTAAATGGGTTAATATATACAATATATAGAAGAATGCCCTAAGTCCTCAATAATTAGATGCTACTATTATTATTATACCACTATTATTATTATTACATTATTACTGTTATTAATATAATTAAGGGTTACAACACTCTTGAGCATCAATCCATAGTCTAGATGTTCTCCTTGTAAACTGAATCAGGAGGCCAAATTGCCTACTCACCATAGGAAATAGAGTCCCCTTGGGCTATTTCCTTGAAAAGACCAGAAACATCAAGGTCAGGGACTCCAAGGGAAGCCTGCAGAATGGTGGAAAATTCTTCCTCGGTTATGTAGCCATCCTCATCAACATCAAAGAGCTGAAGGAAAAAGAAAATAAAATATAAGAATGAGCTCCCCCAGAGCAATAGTGATGTGAAATAATCTTAGAAAATAAAATCTTTAATAATCCAAACATTCATTGTGCCAGGGGCTAGGAATATGTATATGAAGAGAATATGGTCTCTGCTACCATCACAACTTCTAGTTTGGTGGTGGAAAGAGACAGAATTAAAGTAGGGGCTATATGGATAGTAAGTATTATAGCATGGAGGGACATGGCAGTTCTGTGGGGAGCACGATGAATCCTACCCAGAGAGATCAGAGAAGGCTTTCCAGGAGTTTGACATTTGACCTGGGTCTTAGAAGATGAAGAGATGTTCCCAGAATATATAAAGGATGGCAAGAGATCGTCTGGTGCTCCAGTCATAAGACAGAGACAAGCAGGAACCAGATCATAGTGGATCTAGAGCTCCTCACCCGATCCTGTAGGATTATACTGGAAGGTTAGGTAATGTGAACATAGGTGAACTGAGAGAATCTTTGAGGTGGGGTGTAGAGGCTCAATTGGGGGCAGGAGGTTGATAAGACCAGAGGCAGAAAAATCAAGTAAGAGTATGGGGTAGAGAAGTAGGAAGGATGGGAAAGGGCAGAATTCATTAAGAAAAAAAAAAGGAAGACAGGACTTGTATACCAGTAAGAGGTCTGTAGTGAGGAAAAGTAAGGAACCAGAGATAGCTGAGGTTTCCAGGCTTGGGCAACTGGGTGAAAGCTGGTTACATTAACCAAGAGTAGGAAAGTAGTCAAAAGAGTGAGTGCCAAATGAGATCAAGAGTTGGAGCTGGATAGGATTAATTTGAGTTAGAGATGCCAAGATTAAGTAAGAGATTCAGCATATCAGTTAGGAGACTGATGAGGCCTGAGATATGAATTCCAGTAAGAACTAAAACTATGGCTGTGTTTGAGCTTATCTGTAGAGAATGTATTATACAAAGCAGAGCAAAGGCCTGGGAACAGCAATAGTCGAGGTGTGAGTGGGGAACTGACAGAGAAGACTGAGAAGAAGCAGTCAGACAGGAGGACAGGAAAGAAAGCATGCCTCTTGGAAGGTAAGGGAAGGTTTTCAGGAACGAGGAAGAGATTCTGACAATGTAAGAGCCAACAGTAGAATCCCATAGAAAGGCCAAGCAAGAAGCAAAAAGATTTGCTGGATTTAGTAATTAGGAGATCCTGATGACTTCAGTAAACACGGTTTCAGGGACCTGGAAGCCAGATGATGATGAGAATCAAGGGACGAACAGAAGTGAAAAGTGAGGGCAAGAGGTATGGACTCTTCTTTTAAGAAATTATGGCATAAAGGGAAAAAGATAAAGAGGACAGTAGCCAAGCACAAAAGGAGGTTGTCTTTAGGAAGGGAGAAGCTAGACATGTTTATAGGCAAGAGAGAGGGGTAGACTGAAAAGTCAAGTAGCACAATAGGAGTAAGTGATAGATAATGAATATCACATAATCAAACTCCTCTCTAGGTCTTAAGAATATTTAATAATACGAGCACTGACTCTTTATAGGCACTGATCAAGAGTGTTCAGATCACCTTATACATATTAACTCGACCCTTACAACAGTGTTATGTCAGACAGGTGCCACTGCCAACCCTATATGAGAAAACTGAGGCGTGAGGATGTTAAGTCCTCATAAGTTCCGTAAGGTCACACAACTTGCAGGTGGTAGATCTGGCTTTCAAATGCAGACAGATAATATCTAGGGTTCCTGCTGTTGAGGAACCCTAACAACTAAATACAAGATGACCAAATATAAGATGACAAACAGAAAAACAGGTATTAGATGAGGTGTGATAATCATGAAAAGAATAATATGCAAATATTGAATAGTGTTTTAATTGTCCATGAGGAAGGAGTGAAAAAATATAACTTGAAGTTGGGATTTGTTGCTCTCAAGTGAGAAAGCACTGGCTGCTAGTCTATTTCCTACCACCCAGCCCCTAACTGGGAAATAAGATAGCTGGAAAGTGAAAACTAAATTAGCATTTATTTCCAAAAGCTTTAGATCCTGGGCTCTTTCTGCACCTTGGAATTTAAACAGTAACTGCCAGGACTCAGTCACAGCTCTCTCCTCACAGACTTTAAACTTTCTTCAAAGGTATTCTATTCCTAAATAATTCCCACCAACTCATCTTAACAATCTAAGTTCTTGCCAGGTTTGGTGCTTTGGTGGCTCTCACTTCTTTTTTTCTTTGTTTTTTTTGAGACAGAGTCTCACTCTGTTGCCCGGGCTAAAGTGCCGTGGCATTAGCCTAGCTCACAGCAACCTCAAACTCCTGGGCTCAAGCGATCCTCCTGCCTCAGCCTCCGGAGTAGCTGGGACTACAGGCATGCGCCACCATGCCTGGCTAATTTTTCTATATATTTTTAGTTGGCCAATTAATTTCTACTTTTGTAGTAGAGACTGGGTCTCACTCTTGCTCAGGCTGGTCTCGAACTCCTGACCTTGAGCGATCCGCCTGCCTCGGCCTCCCAGAGTGCTAGGATTACAGGTGTGAGCCACCGCCCACGCCCGGCCTGGTGGCTCTCACTTCTGTGTAAGTTCCCTTCATGTGGTCCACACGGGAGACTTCTACTTCCTCTACATTTGTCCTTTGCCACAACTATCCCAGATCACTACCCTCACTTCCCCTCAGCTCCATGTCCCTCACCTACTCATCACTCCCTGCTACAAAGTTCCCAGATCTAAGGTAAACCCCGTGATCTGGGGTTTACCTGGTAGAATGTTTACTACCCTAGTTTCCTTTGGGGGAATGATATCTCCCCATTGCATAGAATACTGTGGGACTCTTAATCAAAACATCCTTTTTCTCCTATCAAGCATATGGCCCAAGACCATTTGGATCCTCCCTGGAATGTGAATTAAGAACAGAGTTGGAGTTGGCTCATTTTAAGTGCAGTGCCCAGGGCAGGGTGTAGGGTAGTTCCTGCAGCCTGGACCTCTGGAGCAGCCTGATTCTGAGTTTTTCCTTGAGTCTTCTCCCTGCCCTTTCAACTAATTCCACTTTGGCATCCATCAGCCAGAATGTATCCTATTGCTTGCAACTGAAGAATCCCAACTAGTATTCTAACTCTAATGGTCACTGGGAAGTGAAATTTTGAGATAAAAGAGATAAAAGATAAAAGATGGGAAGTTACCTGTGAAGTGCTACCCAAATAAAAGGCTGTTAAAGATCCTATATGTAAAAGGATACTACTAAATGAAAAATAAAGCTATGCAAAAATATTTCCAAAACATAAAACACATCTGAAAAGGAAGGTTAAAAAATAACCAATGTAAAGCATGAGTCTTGCCTTACTGCAAGAAAAGCTAATTATACTGTTAAGTCCTCCTTCCTTCCTTTTTCCTTACCCTCAACCAAACCAAGGTCTAGGCTAGATTAAAATCTCATGACTTCTTTAAAAAAAATAATTACTGTGATTAAGGGCCAGATTTTCTATCATGTCTTTCATTGGTAAACCAAAAGTGACCATTTACCCAGCTAAACTTATAATTATACACATACAATCCCAAAACAGAAACAGAAATATCTAGATTGGAATAAGTTAGCTATGTGTGTAATTTTAGGTTTTATGATGAATAAGTCTGTAAAAGCTAAAGGTTTTCAACTTTGGAAAAAGTCTGGCCCTTGCCTTATAAGCATCTGCTAAGCATCAACCACTGAGGTTCTTGGGCCTGGCAGTTCACCCAGATTAAACCAATCTGAAATAAAAAGTAAACTCAGGGTTCTTGTGTCAATGACAGAGCACATGAAAATTCCTGAGACTATCCTTGGTGGCCTCTAAGACATGAAAAAGAACTCTTGGAGGAAAAGAGTCTTTCTAGATAATAAAGGGAAAGCAAAACTTGTTGGAGTCACAGTTGGTATTCTTCTCTGACAAAGGCAGGAAGAAATAAGAGTAGGAAATGGGACCAGAGAAGATGCTCAGCTCTCCTGCTGGACAGATGCAAAGAGACCAAATAAATGGCTGCACAACAAGAGTCAATATACACAGCTTTGTAAGACAAGTAGGGAAATCTAGTTTCTGTTTTACTTGAAATCTGACCATACAAGCGTAGAACTCAAAGGGAATATCATATTTAAATACTAATTAGATGAAGCACCTTTACTCTCAGAACCGAAAACGCACTTTGGAAATATATTCTTCCCTTTTCTTTTGCACTTGTAAGTGGTAAATGGAATCTGAGTCTTCACAATTCAAGCTTTCATCAAGCTCTGTGGGCTCCAGGGACATGGGTTTTGTTCACCTGCTCCCAATTTAGATCCCTGTTACTTCTGTGAAAACATATGTGCTACTATAGGAAGATAAGTGGGGTAGAAACTGGGGGCATTTATGATGGTGTTCACCTCATACCACGATGACAAAATAAATTCCATCAGGAAAATACCACTTAAAATATCTCAGACATACAAAATGAGAAAAAAAGGATAGATCAGAACTTTCCAGATAGTGAATTAGGATGACTAGTGACAGGTGGTGTTTATTTATAAACCTCCCTTTGGGGCTTCAAAATGGAAAGGCTGAAAAGAAATAATTTTTTAAGTTAATTTGTTAAATTACCTGCTCTTCAATCTTGATGCTGTTAACTAGGCTGCTTTCAAAGACTTTTTACTTAAACGAATGTTTGTGTTTTCTTTATTCTCAGTAGCAATTGACTTAATCACATTATTCTCCTGTACATGTCACAGCAGATCTATAAACTCATGTAATAGATTCACTGATTTTCAAATAATACACTTAGAGTCAACACTTGTTTATGAGGCACACCGAGATGCTTTCAGTGGGGCTGACAGTACCTTAAATGCCACCTGGATGATCTCCTCTGTGTTGGCAGGGTTGCACAAGACAGCCAGGCCAATCACATACTCTCGGAAGTCAATACTGCCATCATGGTTCTGTGAAAAGATGGGAGAAATCAATTATGAGGGCTACTGGTTGAATCACTATTAATTATGCCACATGGTGAAATTCAGGTATGCTATACAGTTCAATGTCATCGTGCACTGAGCCTATTTGGAGAAAAGTTCTCGCTGAGATGTGACGGCAAGGAAGTGGCCCATCCTTTTCCAATTCAGAAAGAAGAAAAATATATTTTCTGTTCATCAATAAGCATTTTTTATCACTGGGACCCTTTAGAGTGGCCCTAGGGCACCCAGTGTTGGTTCTTGAGCTCAGCCTTACTTGATGAGAGCCCCTCTGGGAGGCAGGATCTAGGACTTTCCTCCTTGGGGGGACTGAAGCATTCATTCTTGCCATAGTGGACAACATGAAAGTGTCATTAAGGGTTCTGAAAGGGTTAATAAGCAAATGGAAGAGAAAGAAAATGGGCAAACTGAGGCAGTAACCACTGCTACATTCTTTCTTTCTTCCAAGCTTAATCTGCAGTAAACTAGGACCAACTGGAGCCAACTTGGCAACACTGATAGCTCCTTTGGGATTTCAGGCCCCTAAAGATCCTGCACTTCTAGGCCAATGAAAATGAAACATAACTAGTATGATATCCCTCAGGAGGCATTTTGTGATAACAATGCAAAAGAAGGGATAATTCTAATCCAGGCTGACTAAATATAGAGTTTTCCCTATATATTAATTATTTATCTAGACAGGAACATTGAAAGGATGACAATGGAGAGAAAGAGAGCTTAAGGAAAAGAAGGGAGAGAGAGGGTGGAGATCGAGGGAAGACTGCAGGAAGAAAGAACAGAGAGAGCTAAAAAGGAAAAAAGAGGGAAACGGAGACAGGAAAAATGAGGTGGAGAGTGGAAGAGAAAGATGGAGCGGGGAGAGAGGGAAGGAGGGAGATAGAATGAGAACTATAAACAATTACTTTCATCCCAGGTATTAGAATCATTTTGGCAGCAAAAATTGCAAGTGATAAATTCCCAGAGAAACTACTGAACTAATAACAAAGCTAGTGCAGTACTTAATTTGATCATTAACAAATAATGTCTGGCACCCACAGACATATGATCTTCAACTGTGACTAAACATCTATACTTCAATTACCAAGAGTTCCTTAAAGGAAGGAAGTTTTTTTTTTTTTTTTTTTTTTTTTGCATGGCAGTGTATTCCCATTGCCTAGCATGTAGATGCTAAAAAGATGCTACTTTTTTCTCACCTACCACTCTGGGTTCACAGGACTTTTACTTTAAAACACTAAGGCAAGAATTCTTCACTAGAGTTTCATGGGTGAATTGGGGGAAGCAAGGGCTGGGAAGATCCTGAAATAGTGTGCAACTTTTGTATGTACATTTTTCTAGTGAAAAAATTTGTAACTTTCATCAACTTCTCAAAGTAACTTAGCCTCAAAAAGTCAAGAATCACTTGCACCATATTATTTTATCTTACTGCAGGGTGGAAACTACACAGAGTAATAATTTAACATATTAACTGCCATGAGAGTTATATTTAATTTAATAACTCACACTAGTTTTGAGCCCAGGGCCTTGTAAAGCAAAACCTGGGCAAAACCCTGCAGTTGGTTTGTTAAAATCTTGTTGACTTCTTACTGTTACAACTAATTCTAAAAGCATGGATTAAATGAATAGAAGTTAATACATTTCATTTCTCATTAAATTTTTCATTAAATTAGAAAGAATTGTTTCATTTTCGAAGTTTTTATTCTATTCTCATAATAAAACACCATGGCCCCAGGGGAAATTTTTTTTTTTTCCCTAATGTGGCAGTCAATGTGTTCATCTTAACTTTTCCAAGACAAGGTAGAAATAGAGGTTTCAAGGATTCCCTAAAGTAACAAGGTTTATTCCTGAGACAAAAACTCAGGTCATCTGACATCTTTTATTGTCCAGATACCAGCCTGTAAAAGAGCTGTTTTTTCCTTTTCTTTAATCAACTTCATTGAGGAATGCATCCATTTTAAATGTACACTTCGATACATTTTGACAGCTGTATACACCAGGGTAAACACCACCACAATCAGTACCTACATTTGACCACCCTAGAAGTTTCAGAGAAGGCAAACTTTTAAGGGACATAATGTACTTCTTGTGCCACCACCATTTAATTTTCTTATGCACCATGGCGAGCTCTTTTTAATGAGCCTCAGAGGTTGAAGAGCTTATTGAGCCATGGCTGTATTGCTCAACATAGATAAATTTCTTCTGCAACTGGCTTTTTCCACTAAGCAACACAGAAGTCTTGAATAGAAGTTCTGAAGCACATATCTAAGAATGATCTAAGGACACTTACAGTTACAATCATAGGTTGTCTGTATGGTTAGAAATACTCCTTTGAATTTATGTTGTATCTTTATTGTGAGACATTAAGTTTTTACCTAGACTACCAAACCACACATATAACACAGGCCAAAACAGTCTTATTTATGAGTGGTTTTGAATGACAAACAATGCTGAAGCAGACCTCTGATGATCAATCACATGAGAAAGCATATGGAAGTTTTCATCCTAGTAATGTGAAAGGGGAAAAAAAAGCAGCATGGAAATTATTCTCAGAGATTATATTATTGGATTAATAAAACAATATATTGTTAAGGTTCCAAATCCAGAGTAATACAATTTAAAACTGGAAGAAGTAAGTCATCTATTCAACTCCTTCATTTTAACTAATGAAAATATTGAGACATAAGCTTCACTTGAGATCAAAAAACTCACTATTGCCATAGTTGCAATTAAAACTTAGGTAATCTGACTACTAATCATTCAAATTAAAGCAAATAGCTTGATAAAATATATTTAAAAACAGATAAAAATTATATAGCAAAATATGCTCCTTTAATTTTTAAATTTTGAATCAGTTTCATTATAAAAATTATTCTAAAATCTGTGGTTCTTTCCTTTAAAAATCTACTGGGTTCCCCAGGAAGAATTATGAACTTAATAAAAAAATCTAGACTTGAAAATTCAGTGCCACATTTCAAAAGCAAACAGCTCTGCAAAGGGAGGTCATAATCCCTCCATAAATTATCCTAATTTGGAGTCCAGATTAGCCCAGAGTTGGAACTAAGAAGTTGCACTGAGTCACTGTACAAAGAAAGGACAACTAAAGCTTGCGAAAACTCTGGACAGTGGGCCCCATCCCTTTCCTGGAGGTCAGCAGGATCAGAAAAGCATGGAAGTGTGTGTGTGTGTGTGTGGGGGGGTCACTGTGAGCTCACGACCCCCAGCACCTTTCATCTACTCAGTCACAATATACTGGCTTCCAGGGCCAGTGGGAAGTTCTAGGCTACTTGTTCAGATATTGTTCATGTAAAATTCCAGAAAAAATAAATGGTGATTCTCATGTGTCTGATTCTCAGGTATCAGTTCCCTTGGGTTGTTTCATAGTTGAATTTATTCAACATTTTTATTCATATGGAATCAGATACTCTTTACAACTTTTTAAGTCTAGCAAAATTTAAGAAGATAGTTTTGAATACATTTTGCAACAGTAAACTCCCAAGGATAGGGACTATTTCCTTTGTTGTGTTATAACTGATGTAATAATATCATCTCTGCAGATGAGAGATAATCAATGACCTCAAAATAATTTTAAAATGTTTGCATAAAACAGATTTTATGTGGCAGCTACCGACAAAAATAAAGTCTTTAAGTCTTTGAAGATAATCTATAAATCCAAAGGAGTATAATTATTAAAATGCAGTAAATTCTCAGTTACCCAGAAGAGTCTGGGAAGAGGTGCTCTGTTCACCTGAATATTCTCATTAAGAGCAAATTTCTACCCACATATGTAATTATAATAATTTTCTAGAATTAAATTGTTTTATTTAATTTATTTTTTCAAGTTCTCTCATGAGGTCACATAAATTGTTTTACTACAATTAAACATTTAAAAAAACTAATTCTGAAGGTTCTTCAAGATCAATAAGCACATTAAACATCAGTACCCTACAGGTGCCTGCATAAATATTTAAATTCCCACTATGAGTAATTCTGTACTACTACTACTAAGATTTCTGACTGAGGTTGATAAATCAGCTTTTAAAAACACATGTGCTACTAATAAAAAATATTGAATAAGTGATCTTTAAGATGACATATACATTTTGAATGTTTTTGGAAGTTTTACTATTTTTAGGTACAGAATATACAGTTATTTTTCCTTTTTTACAGTTTATAGAATTTAGTGGATTATAGCTGAGGAGTATGGTGGGTCACCTTTATAATCTTAGCACTTTGGGAGGCTGAGGCAGGATTGCTTGAGGCCAGGTGTCCGAGACCAGCCTGGACAACATGGTGAGATCCCATTTCTTCAAGAAATAGAAAACTTAGGTGGGTGTGATAGTGTGCACTTGCAGTCCCAGCTACTCAGGAGGCTAAGGCAGAAGGATTGCTTGAGCTCAGGAATTTGAGGTTGCTGTGAGCTACGAAGATGCCATTGCACCCAAGCCTGGGCAACAGAGTGAGACCCTGTTTCAAATAAGTAAACAAAAAACCTAAATGACAACAACAAAACCAAAAATAAATATTGGATGAAAATTGAGAAATTCAATCCCTTATTAGGCTATTGGTTCTACACAATGCCAAATATTTGGTGACTTGGAAAATTCCAGAGTTTGGATTGAATTTTCTAGTGTCCACTCTGCCACTGAGGTTATTTATACAAATTTTACACAAATTCAGAAAAGAATAGAAGAAAATCTTAGGTGACTTCAGGGTGGTTTTCCATGCACATGCTGGAAGAGAATCATAAAAGTAGATAATTCCTCAACTTGAGGAGCCAGGGAAATTCTTATTATCACCTCTCATGTGAGATGGGTGTCTTAACTTTTATAAAACATTTACAATGAAGTGAGGAACAAAAATGTGGCTTTACTGCCCTTTCCACAACCATCCTGTGGAAAGGTTAAATTATAAACCTAACATTCTGATGCCTTAAAAGATGTCTGGCAGCTTTTCCCCTCTTGGCTACTCTCCCACACCCATGCCTAACATACTCCTGGGCTTATTCTAAAACAAGGAGACTAATATTAATGTGTGGTTGCTGGCAGCAGCCTTGTTCTTATATAACCACACCTGGTCTAAGTAGCATACCAGACCAGGTTAAATTACAAGTCCCTTGAGGAAAGTGGATAGGATCTCTGTGCTTGGCTCAGTTCAGAATTGTATGTGGGTGGTGTCTCATAAATATTGTATGATGGTGATGATGGTGAACACAGAGGCCAAATGCCAATCTCTCCACATTTCACTGGAGATTTCCAACAGGCAGCTGGGGGCTATTAACAGGCTAGTTACATCATTTCCATAGCTACAACTTTCTTCTAAGTGAGTCAAAAGAGGAAGGAAGAATTTATCTTCGAACTCAGATGGACCCTCCAAAGTAGCCTGGGATAGAGAAGACATTAATTAAAAACCAGAGGAGCAGAAGGGGTAGTGACTAACTAAATAGCAGGCAGGGGAACTGAGCATCTACAAATGCAGCCTTTCTAGTTGAGTCAACTTGCACCAGAATTCTGGATTTTGCTCGCTCTAATAGCCTGTATCAAAATTATAAAGTCAAACCAAGGGTTACACACAAGAAAGGCACAACTAGCCCAGCTTTTGGATGTAGTTTCTTGGTATTCCTGTCTTGCCTCTACCTGGATGCTCACAACACTGACTCTCCTGCTGGGCCTCAGTTTGGCTGAGATGGATTTGAAAAATACTGTGAGACAGCCCTACTTTAAAGCAGTCCAGGCTGTCAACCTTAGCTGCTCATTAGAATCACCTGGGGAGCTTTAAGAATATTCATCCTCAGGCCCCACTTCTAAAGAGTCTTATTTAACATATTTGGAGTGGGATTCAATCATTAGCATCCCTAAAGAGCTCTCCCCAGGATTCTAAATTGCAGCCAGGGCTGAGAACCACTGCAAGAGTCAGCAATATTTGTTCTCTATATTGCTTTATATTCCGTTTAACTGATTACTTTGTATGTGTCTTTTTTTTTTCTTTGTGTGCTTGTTTCCAGCCTGCAGTTTCCAAAGATGAACAAGAGAATTTTCCTTGCTCTAAGGCAGGGCAAGACATGACAAGAGCTGGCTAACATCAGCGGGGCATGCCTGATTTTGTATGAAGTACGTGTAAGAATGATCATTTTGATTCATTAAGGCAGCTAGAGACATTTTTAAACTACGGGTATACTATTTTATTGCCCAATGCCTTTGATTCTCTTTACAAATTATATCAAAACAAAACAAAATTGCTATGATATGCTTATTTTTACTAGAGAAACAGAACTAAAGGAATCTAGAATTTTAGATATTGTTGCATGATTTAAAAAAATGCTACCCTTATATGCAATTATTTGATTTCACTTTCTGAACCTGTTTCTATATAGTTAAGTAGATTTCCTGGAAAGCACTTTTCACTTTTTTACATAATGGCAAGAGCAGATGTAAAATTATGAGGAAAACAGATTTTGAACTTCCCTCCTTACCTTTTTAAAGGGAAAAAATATCTCCTGAGTGTTTTCTTGATTTATTCCAGGATTTAAAAAAAAATTAATTCTTAACAATAGCAACAATGATAAAGTTTTTACTCCTTGGAATTCATTCACCAAATAAGCAACAATCTTTTAAAATCTACTCCATTTAGAGCTCCACCTACACCCCCTATCGTATATATACGTTTATATGGCCATATAGTTCCAGTATCTCTAAAAAATCATATATACTACAAACCACTCAAAACATTTTTCATGAAAAATGTGCTTTAATTAAGCAGTAAAACGTAGCATACGATCAAAAACATGCAGGGTTGGGAGAGGGCTTGCCGGGAAATGGCAGCTGTTGGACAGGGTAGCAGCAACCGTGGGGGCTGCATGGCAAGGCTTTGGGAAGTCCTGTCCTCCAGGGCGGGTCTTGTGCTCTCAGTGCCCACTTCAGGAATACATGGTCAGCTGCAGCCACTCTTTGATAGACACCTGAATCAGGCCATCTGCGTCTCTATCCAGAGACTTGAAGGTACGAAACATAGCATCCAGGCGCACCAGGCAGCTGATGAAGCTGTTAAAATCCATACCTCCATCCTCATCAGCATAGCGGCGCACGATCATCTGGTAAAGTTGATCATTTAGCTGGAAGCCTGCTGCCTGCAGAGCTCCCCGCAGCTGCGAACTTCCCAGAGTCCCGGAATGGTCCCTGTCATACTGCTTATAAACACACTGCCATTTCTTGATGTTGTTCCACAGATACTTAAATTCTTCAAAGCCCAGCTTCCCAGTTGTGTCGCTGTCCATGACAGACACGATGCTCCGACAGGTGTCAAGGCTAAAGCCGTTGGTCTTCAGATCCTTGTGCTTCGAAAGGACTTTGTTGAGAATATTCATCAGGTCAGTGGCACCCACCTCCATGTCTGGTCCAGCCAGCTGTGCGAATTGGTGCCGAAACCGCCTAACTTCCTCACTTTCTGAGGCCTCCACATTGGTGAAATGCTGCTGGGTGGGAGGTGGTTCTGGAGTGTATTGAGCTGCTGCAGCCTCACTGATAAAATTCACAATTCCTCCAACTATCCCTCCAATATTTCCTCCTCCTCCTCTTCTCTGACCGCCTCCTCCAAGAAAGCCTCCAAGAGCTTCTCCAAGACCCCGATCTGCCCCTTCCAAGATAGCCTTTGCAAGAAACATGATTTCAGTTTAACAAGCAAGTATAAAAGCTGCTGAAATCTTGGAGATGGTATGATGAGAGATGAAATGGAGTCCAAGCAGCTTTCATGTGGAAGAACTGGCTTTTCTGTACCTGCTTGCACTGCACCACACCCCATGATGTGATGTTTCACCTCCTACTCAAGTTGCCTGAATTCCATTAGGTCCTAACACCTGCCATATTTCAGAGGGCCTCAATAAAATGGCTTTCTAGTCTTCTAGATATTCATAGATTAGAATATGTATGACACATTACAGTAATATTTTAAAATATAAAACTATACATTCTTATATGTTATTGCTTTCTTAGTTATCTGTCTCAGCATGGGGGAAATGACATACATTTTCCTAACAGGAGATGAAGGTACCTTATGTAAGTGGAATCACACAGTATTTATCCTTTTGTGACTGGCTTATTTCATTTAGCCTAAGGTCTTCAAGATTCATCTATGTTGTAGCATGTGTCAGAATTTCTTTCCTTTCTAAAGGTGAATAATATTACATGGCATGAATATACTACGTTTTATTTTTCCATTCATCCATTAGTGGAAACTTGGGTTGCTTCCGCCTTTTGGCTATTGTAAATAATGCTGCTGTGAACACAGGTGTACAAGTATTTGTTTGAGTCCCTGCTTTCAATTCTTTCAGGTATATCTCCCAAATTGGAATTGCTGAATCATATGATAATTCTATTTTTACTTTCTTGAGAAATAGCCATGCTGTTTTCCACATTGGCTGCACCATTTTATACTCCTACCAGCAGTACACAAGGGTTCCAATTACTCCATATCCTCACCAACACTTGTTATTTTCTGTTTTTTTTTTCATAAGAGCCATACTAATGGGTGTGAAGTGGTACCTCATTGTGGTTTGCATGAAAATTACATATTTTTAGTGAAAATCATTGTTTTCATATATTTTAAATCATTGTAGTTTTCATTTGCATTTCCCTAAAGATTAGTGATGAACATCTTTTCATATGCTTTTTGATCATTTGTATATCTTCTTTGGAGAAATGTCTATTCAAGTTCTTTGGCCATTTTTTAATCAGATTATTTGTTTTTTTGTTGTTGAGTTGTAAGAGTTCTTTAAATTTTCTGGATACTAATATTTTATCAGATATATAATTTGTAAATATTTTCTTTCATTCTCTGGGTTACATTTCAGATCTGTTGTTAGTGTTCTTTGATACACAAAAGTTTTAAATTTTGATGTAGTCCAATTTATCTATTTTTCTTATGTTGCCTGTGCTTTTGGTAATCATGAAATACTTATCCAAGAAATCATGTAGAAATCAAGTGTCATGAAGCTTTTCCCCTATATTTTCATCTAAGAGTTTTATAGTTTCAGCTCTTATGCTTAGGTCTTTGATCCATTTTGAGTTAAATTTTGTATATCGTATAAGGTACAACTTCATTCTTTTGCATGTGGATATCCAGTTTTCCCTGCATCATTTATTGAAAAGACTGTCCTTTCCTCTACTGAATGGTCCTGGCACCCTTGTCGAAAATCATTTGAATGTGTATAGATATATGTACATATATATATTTTTTTCTGAGCTCTCTATTCTACAGGCCTCTTCAAATGTTTTATTCTTCATTATTCAGTCTTGGTAGGTTTAGTGTTTCTAGGTATCTGATCATTTCATCTATGTTATCTAATTTGTTGGCATACAGTTGATCATACTACTCACTTATAATCCTTCTTATTTCTGTAAAATTGGTAGCAATGTCTCTTCTTTCAATTCTGATTTTATATGTCTGGCTTTTTCCCCCTCAACTTTACATCTGTGAGATTTGATTTTATATTTTCAATAAGTACCTTCAAGAAGTCAGTTTGTAGCAGGCAGTCCCAGACAATACTTTGTGAAACCCTATGTTTGATGCTAGGTAGATTCAGAGTACAAGTCCTCCAGAGGTCTTTAGAAGTTTTATTGGTGAACTTGGGGAAACGTGGCCAAGACTTAATGACTAAATCATTATATTACTTAGTATTTGGGGTGCCAATTTCGAATCTGGAAAACGATGATAATGGCATCTTCCTTGCTTACTTCAAATGATTCAATGTGATCTATTATACATTAGTATTTGGGCTCAGTGCTTAGGATACAAGAGTGAATACAACAGGATTGCTGTGCAGAGGATCAAGCTGACCTACAGAAAACTTGCTGTAATTATAAACTGAAGTTCATGTTCACATTTCTACTATTAAGTCTAACATATTATATTAGTCTTTGCTTTGGTATTCAGGTTTCATAAAATTCCTCTGAAAGATACAAAAGTATTCCAGATGAGGAAAGAAAAACTCAGAGAAGTTAAGCTACTTACTTAAGGTCATGCAGCTAATGCATTGTACTGCATTATCTAAGCAGCATGAGTGCCGAAAAAGAGAATAATGGATTCTGCTGAGGCAAAGAAAAGGAAAACATTTACATATAGAAGAGATCATGTGTAGGCCAGACTACAGTGTGAGTCAGAGTTCTTCAAATAGATAAGAGATATAAAAGGACAGTATAGTGAAAGCACAGAGGAGCTAAAGGATACATGGTATTCAAGAGATGGTGACTAGTACAAAGTGATGAGAGTCCTGTGCAGGGAGCGATGGGAGATAAAGGGAGATCAGTAAGATGGAGTCAGATTGGAGAGGGCTCTGAACTGCCCTATGACAGAGCCTCTCTCACAGGTTATTGTAGACACTACTGACAGCTCAAGTGTAAAGTCAAAAGGAGGTTAGATGTGAAATTACTTTGGAAACTGTATAATTCTAGAATTAAATAATGATTATTCTAGCTATTATCAGGGAGCGAATAGTAGCTAAGGGACACTGCTCTTTTTAGGGCTTTGGAGCAATGTCCTGTCTCCTTCTGCCACACCCAGTGGTTTGTGTAAAATTCTCCAATGACTGGTTTTATTTCTCATGAGCACAAAGAGATGGTCTCTGTGACTACCAAAAACCAAATATCTTCCTTAACCACATAGAAAAAGTACCACAAAAGAACTGTCTTCCTTTTAGGGAATCACAAAGGGCCATCTGGCTTTAGACAGATATAAACACTTTCATATAAGCTTTTCTCAGAGGAAATCACATGGGCTTTGTTTTTATAAGATTGCAAATTAACTAGATAGCATTCACTTTCATATAAAATGTACCTCCTTATGTCCATCTGAAGTGTTCTTTTGCTTCAGTTTAAAATCCAATTGCTCTCATTTATTAAATATTTTCTGTGAAGATGGAGGACATTTGGCTAACAGTTTCTCATAAGCCATCATAGAATAAAAGACTGTTATTAGATTAACGAGCTTTTTCTTTTCTGGATGATTTAATACCCTATGGCTATTTATTAGAACATTAATAGCAACCTTAATTGCTGTCTAGGGGAACTCTACTGTCCAGATCTGGGGAAAAAAAGGTAGTAAGAGAAGAAGCCACAACTGGTAGAAAATTTAACCTCAATTTCGGGAGAAGAGTTATTAAACTTAAAAAAGTACACAATGACACTCGAATGTTATTAACATTATTCATAATAGTCCAAAAGTAGAAACAACCTAAATATCCACCAACTGGAGAAAGGATAAATACAATGTGATATATCCATATAAGGAATATTATTCAGCAATAAAAACATGGAATTAATTACTGTTACATGCTACAACATGGATAAACCTCAAAACATTATGCTGAGTAAAAGAAGCCAGGCATAAAAGACCATATAGTATATGATTCCATTCATATTAAATGTCCAGAAAAGGCAAATCTAGAGAGACAGAAAGTAGATTATTGGTTACCTAGGGTGAGGGGATAAACGACAGGAATGAACAGTTAATGACACAAGGAATCATTTCAGGGTGACAGAAATTTCTAAAACTGATTTTGGTGATGATTGCACAACTTATAAATTGACTCTCCCAAATTACCGAATTGTACACTTGAAAAGGGTACATTATATGATACATAAAATGTCTCAAGAAACTTATTTTTTTAAAAAGTCAACAGTGACAGTGTGTAGTAAAAAGATTATTGAACTAGGAATTCTAGTCCCAGTCTTGCAATTAACCAGCTGTGTGGCCTTAAGCATGTAATTTCCTCTCATGAGCTGGCAACCTTTTGCAAAATGAGGAGGATGGGCAATTTGGTAACAAAAGTCCTTTTAGTTCTACAATTCTGTGAGTCTAGATTTTCATGTACCATGAAGCAGTGACAGTGGCATTGTTCTTACAGTGAGCTTAGTTTCCTTCTGGCGTCTAAGCCTTTTTACGCTATAATATTAATTTAATTTAGACTTTCTTTATCTTGGGTCTGGTTCCACAACTTTTAAAGACATGCTTGCTAATCCTTACTTTGACATATTGTCTGGTTTTCTAAAGTATTCCTGATTACAACCTATGGAGTATGTTGCTTTTCCAAACAGAACTCCAAAGGAGACTGGACCTGGTCTAGAATAACACAGAAGGACTCAAAACTCCCACTCTGAGTGGAGCCTTTCTGTCAAGTGGGGCTTTCACTTAACTGCAATGTGATCTGGACCAGACCTTCCTAATTTGTTGATAAGAATGTCATGTTGGATGAAATCAAAAGCGTTTCTAGAGTCCGTACAGATAAAATCTATTTCTTTTTTCGTTATCAGCTTGGACTGTCACTCTGTCATAGAGGGAAATTAAATTGGTCTGACACGATGTGCTCTTTACAAAGCCCTGTTCTTTACTTCCTTCTGCTCTTGGAGGAGGCCAGTAATTGCTCACTTGCTCGAGTTAAAAAAGGTAAGTTTTAATTGTTACAGTCTCCTTGTTGTTTTCCTTTGTGCATCTCCCAGGTATATACTTACTTGCACTGGGAAACCAAAAGTAAAGCATATCATTCTTATGTCTGAATGGATGTTTCTTGTGTAACTATAGCCAGAGAAAATACCATGATGGACTAAATGGGGAACTAAGACAACATGAGCACTGAAGAGGGAAATGCTCAGACATGTAAGATGACCACACTTTCAGGACAACTTGTGCAACAGAACAGAAAAGTTCACCTGTCTCGCCCAGAAAATAATAGCCTTTTTCTGTAAATTATGTCGCATAAATTGTAGAGTAGCTTGCTTTCATATAACAAATCTTGATTAACTGGTATTGTAATCAAAATGAGTTCTTTCCACAGGAACTATAAATCTGAAGTGGAAATTTAAAGGATAAAAGATTTTACTGTTTATTTCTAATCATTTAAGCCACCTAAATGCCCTGCCCTAGCTCTTAGCATGAGCAGAAAGCCTGCACACTATAGCACCCTACCTTTCTAACTGGAATGGGCACGCAAGGATGATCGTTATTACTGGCACTCAAGATTTAACACTTGAACTAATACCAGGAACAGGGTGGACAGGAAGAACTTGAGATAAAGAAACACATTCATTCCATAGAATGAGAACAGTAATGAAAGAGCTACAGAAGTTTACAATAGCTGAAAAGGCTGGATTGCCTAAGTGCTAAAGTATGCACAAACTTTTCTTGTCTAATACTTAAACAAAGTACATAGTAATGCCAGAAGAAGTAAGTAGCCAGAAGGTAGAAATGGGAAAAATCACGATAGTTGTCAAATTATTCTACAGAATGAAAATCGTACCCATTTACCTAAATTCTTCTAGGCAGTGATCTA